AAAAATATTGTTTATATTTTATTTCTGCTTCAAATATATAATCCTAATATATATTTTATATATGAAAATTAAATACATATAGTTTTACATTTCCTTTTTTTTTAAATCTTATTGTATTTTCTCTATGTTTTAAATTAAATAATCTTTGCATTTTTCTGGAAAGCAGATTTACTAATAATTTTATAATAGAATTAATAAATAAATAAAAATACCGCTTAATTAAATAATTCCATATTATCATAATCATAAACAAGTGTATAATTTTAAAATTTAACACTATCTTTTTGTTTTGAAATCCCTATTAAAAACGGTTTCTCATATTTCATATAATCGAAAGAATTCTAACTAGTTACAAGTGGGACATATAGATTTTTCCATTCAAAAGGAGCAATTAAGCTTTTTACATTTTCACAAAAGAGTGTCAATACATAAGGTCTTTGAGAAAGTATAATAATTTATTGTTCTAATAAAAGACTTAATACTAATTAAAATAAAATATTAGGATTTTATGGAAAAATGAAATATTAGAAAGCACTGTTTGAAGGGGAAATTATATTTTAGAAAGGTTATTCGATATCATTTTTTACAAAAAAGTTTATAAAATTGTTTTATTTATTAATAAATAAATTAAGTTTATAATTTTGTTCTTTTAAAGCGCATTATTGAAAAGTTGATTAAAGTATAAAATTTTCAATAATATTTATTTGGTTATCAACGCAACTTTTTTAATCTTTTAAGAATAATTTTATTTAATCTTTTTAATTTATTTTAAAATTTATATAGTATTATAAAAACTATTTTAAAGGATGAAAAGCATTACAAAGACTTACTGCTATATAGCATACTGGAATTAAAAAAGATTCACTTATTTTATTAGTATCTCTAAAATCATATATTTCCTTTTTTATATATAGTTTTTTTTTTTCTATATATAATTTTTATTTAACGTAAAAAATAGTAGAAACACATTTATAAGAATTTTTTTAATCTTGTATTACGAAATAATTATTTTACTGTATTTATTAATATTGCTTCATGTCTTTTTATTATATAAAATTCATATGCTTCTCATATAAATTATCTCCTTTCTTTAATAAAGATACTCCACATGGAAAAACCCACTAATTTTAATTTAAATTTTTATTTAAATATGTCTTTACTTTATCTATTTACTATAACACTTCAGGAATTTTTTATTAATTTGGATATATATTTCTAACATTTATTTAAGTTATTTAACTATTTATATTTTTATGAAATAAGGAATCGTCTTAATATTTTTTTATGTTTTTATAATATAAATATAATATAATTTGTAAACTTCTTTTTATATCATCATCGATTTCACATTTTAAAAATAAATAAAATAATGTTGATTAATTTTAATAATCTTAGATAATATTTATTTTCATAATAAAATAATAAAAATTTTTTTTTTGAATATTTATTTAAATTTTTTATTATTTATTAATATAAATAAGTTGAATTTTATTATTTTAATAATTATTAATTAATCAAATTAAAAAAGCTATGAATAAATATAATAAAAATATTAGAAATAAACATATGTTAAAAATATAATATAAAAACACATATATAAATTATAATTAATATATAAATAATATATAAAGAAATAAAATAAAGATATAAATCAAAATAATTATAAAAACATCTATTTATAAAAAATCAATTTATGCAAATTAAATTCATTAATATTAAAAAATAAATATATATATATAATTCATTTTATATTTTTTCATAAATTAAAAAAATAAAAATGCAATATAAAATAGCAAAATAATAAAAAAACTTAAGAAAAATTAACTAATATATGTATATTTTAGGTTAAAGAGTAATTTTTATATTTAATAATTTATATTTTAATATTTGTGTTTAATTTTATTTTTTTGTTTTTATAATTTTAAAAATAATAATATATATATGAATATAAAATATATTTATTAAAAATAAATAATATAATAAGTATATAATCATATAGATTATTATTACTATATTAGAAATATTATATAAAATAAAAGATATAAATAAAATATTAATTATTAAGTATTTATAATATATATTCTTAAATATAATAAATTAAAGAAAACAATATTTCATATTGATTAAAAACGTTTGTCTAAAATTTATTTTAATATTGAATAAATTACTAAAAAATATATTGTAATGTAGTAAATTAAATTAAATTAAATTAAATTAAATTAAATTAAATTAAATTTTTTTATTAAATTAAATTTTATTAAATAAAATTTTATTAAATAAAATTTTATTTAATTAAATTCTTTTTTTTTATATATTTATATCAATTTAATATTAAATATTAAAATCAAAGCACAAAATTATTTATAATATAATAAAAGAAAATTAAATAGAATTAAATTTATATAAAAATATCTATATTAATATTATTTCTTCTTTTTTAAAATAAAACTATAAAATGTTATTTTTTTTAATATTTTTTTACTTACTCATATATAATATTTATTAACGTGAAATTTTAGTTATTAAAGAATTTGATACTCCTTTTATTGAATAAAATACTTTTACTGGCTGGAATCTATTTATTTAATTTCAATGTTTTTCTTAATCATAATTCCATGAGTACAGAAATAATTTTGTATTTGGAATTTTTAGTAAAACCCCTTTATTATTGAAGAAATATTAAAATTTACCTAATCATTATTCATTAGCAATATAATTTGATTTTTTATTATATAAAATTACAAGATAATATTAAATCTTAAAATGATCAAGTCACCATATATTTTGATAATAATATTCATGATTCTTTTAAAATTTATAATCAAAAAGGATTATAGATATGCCAAGCTGATAAAGATTCAACAGATATATATAGTTTTAAGTAATACGGAGATATAGTATAAAGAATTTATTCAAATATCACTCATGTAGATTCCAATTTTGAATTAAAATTTGTTTCTACTATGGTTTCAAATGAAAATGATAATGGCTATGGTATCAAAAACATTTATCTATGGGTCGATACATGTCATGAATCATGTCTTACGTGTAATGGTCCCAGTGAAACTGATTGTTTGACTTGTCCTAATGGTTTTACATTGGTAAACGATATTAAAGGTAATATTTGTAAATGTAATGGATATGTGAAAAATAATTAATGTTTAATTAAGTGTGATTAAATTAAAGAGGTCAGTGTTTAGGGCAGCAATAATATTTTTTGTGTTGAAAGTAATGCGCAGATGTGAATTGTTTAGATTGTGAAAATAATGAGTGTATTTGTGCAAA